ACATTCAGGTGAACATGCCATATCTCAAACTTTAAATTTGATTTATGGTGCATAAACTATATTTTAAATAACAATAGTAATAAGGAAGCTCTACACAGAAATAGATCATATCTACCTACAACTATCAACATATTAAAAGCACCAAACTTAAAATTATACTAATTGACTCTTCTAAAGAGTCTAATTCCTACAAACATTATTGAATACTTCTGCTAAAATCTAAGAAAACTACAGTTACATTGTCAACATAGCAACTTACTTTAAAAAAAAGTATACAGAATAATAATCTGTATCACATTGATATTATGTCAATGTATAATTTGTATGATATAACCCGAATGGGTAATCATTGATCTATGAGTGAATTTCTTTTTTTAATTTTTTAAAATATTTTTGATAGAGAGAGAGAGAGACAGAAAGAGTGTAAGCTGGACAGGGACAGAGAGAGACAGAGACACAGAATGAAGCAGGCTCCAGGCTCTGAGTTGTCAGCACAGAGCCTGATGCGTGGCTTGAACCCATGAGCTGTGAGTTTATGACCTGAGGCGAAATCTGACACTCAACTGACTGAGCCACTCAGGTGCCTCTATGAGTACATTTCTAATTACTCTTTATATTAGAGTCCCAAGATTACTAGCCTTTACAAAGTTAAGTTTTTATTAAGATGAAGGCAAAAAGCTAATGAGGTAATATTTTCTGTGATAACTACATTAATATTTCAAATTTGAAAAAATATTCTCGTGGTATTGTAAAGAGTGAAGATTACTTTATTGATTATTTCTGTAATATTCGCAAGTTATTAAACATCTCTTTCTCAGTTTCTTCATCAAGGAAAAGAGTATATTTAAGTATATTTGGATTCCTTTTTAATAAGGATTACATATGCATTTCTAGAATTTATAGTAATATGTAAATATTTATTGTATTCAAAATTACATAAGGAGGTTTAAAAAAAAAGATGTTCCTTTAATAAAAATTCAGAGTGGGACTTAAATTTCCATGGTATTCAGTTATTCATGTTTAAAAAAGATGACTCTGGCATACTGTTAAAGTTGGGTGAGATTTGTGAAGTCTTGAGGTTGAAAGACTAGAGACAAGTGGGGAAACTTGGCATATCCACGTAAAGGATGATGAATGTCATTCTTAATCATGTCCCCATGGGTTACATACATTCACCCATCATACATAATCTGAAGAAAAGGAGAAACAGACATCAAATTTAAGAAATACTTAAACAAAAACCACAACAATTAAGCATAATAGTTGAGAATTGCATAAGGAAATCTCTGAGCCTAAGTGAAAAACATACCAATTTCTAATCCAATAGCATCCTGGGTCCCAGAATGAAACTGATGACAAAGTCGAGCTTCTGGATTACTTTGGTGAATTTTAAAAGCTGGTTATTTTCAAATATTTGGGAGGTGATGGAAGTAATCACAAGATAAGAGCATTACTCCCAATCTAGGAACATGGGTAGAAAGCAGTTACCAGAATTCAGAGTGAGAGCTATGGAGAGTGGGACACAGGAGTCCTCGTAAGGAAAAGATAAAGAGAATAAACAACCCAGTCTCACTTTCTTCTTGTCTCTTGTGAATTCATTCTGGTACCTAATCAACTGAATTTTACTAGAAACTAGATGACAAAGAGGCCTGATATTGTCCTTAAGGGTCAAAATCCTAGGGTGCACAACATAGTAAGAAAGGTGGATAAAATATATTCAGGGTTAAATGGGAAACATAAACATCACATAAAATAGTTACAGAAAGAGGATATCATCAGGAACACAGTCTTCTGGTAATTAGGGAATGTAAAGATGAGAAATTGTGTACATTATATTGCATTTTTAAGACCATAGCCATCAGTAAATCAGGCTACAACTGAATTCCAAATGCCTAATGTTTAGGAAGTATCCAGTGCATGAATGAATTAATGGAACAATGAGTGAGCTTACTTTTATCTTTTTACCATGCCCCATCTTTCATTTATGTCTACACTGTTATCTTGTGGACTTTATATATACATATATATATTATATATAATGTTATATATATGTGTTATTATATATGTATTATGTTATATATATAACAATGTTGAACATATTATATATGTTATATATGTGTGTGTGTACATATAGTGTTTGTGTGTGTGTATTTCTTTTAGTTCTGACTTGTGGCTTTACATGAACATAGTCTGATCCTTTTGTCTCCCTCTCTGACTGCTTTTAAAAAAAGTCCTGGTTGAATTCTGGTGCTGTAATCTATGCTTTCATCTCAGTACTCACCTGAAAAGTATCATTTAGACAGAATGCGACTTGCATTAGAGCAGTGGGAAATAATGATCAAGAAATATGAGAATAATTTTAAGAGCTATTTAACAGGTAGAATCAATAAGACTTGACAAATAATGGAATTAGGGTATAAGGGAGACATTGGAGCCATAGTGAATGCCATGTGAAAGGGGGTCCAAATTACAACTGAAAATATACCTCTTTGACATAAAGATTATCTTGAAGTGATTATTTTTTAAGAAATAGTAGCCATAGGAAAAGCTCTGAAAACTGAGGAGTTACCCTTTTATAAGGGACATTTACATCTCTAAGGGAAATTTCCATTTGTAAGGGTCTCTCTCTCCTTTCTTCTTTCTCTCTGTATCAAGAAGAGATGGATGACTCTAAATCTCTAGAACCTTATCAATGGAAAGGCAATAACTGAAGTTTGCATAACAACATTATCCTTCCGCACTGTGCTTTTTCCAGGGAACTTCCCATAATTCCTGCCCTCCCAACCCATCCGCCAAGAAAAACCTCCTTTTGTCTTTAGCTGGAGATGGTATTTAAGGTGATGGCTTAGGCCACTTGAAAGAGTTACTCAGTTTTCTTGAATCTCTCCCATGTGTACAGGAGGTATACATATTATTAAACTTCAATTTTTCTCCTGCTAATCTTTGATTACCAGAGGCATCTCAACCAAGAAGCTAGAAGGGTAGAGAGAAAATTGTTTTCCTCCCCTACACATAGATTGTGACTTAATTAAGCATTTCTATTGGTTAATTAGGGTCCTACATTAAACAAGCAAGCAAACAACAGCAACAGCAGCAATAACAACACCAATAGCACAAAACAGTTCCAATATGTTTTTAACAAAACTACTTAGTAGTTTCAAAAAACATTGTTGCCTCCTAAGCACTCTGCATGAGAATTGTCATCATGTTGTGGAAATCTGGTCTGGATAACTGACAGAAGAACCAAGGGGCATGCGGAGATCTTGGAAGGGAGGAGGTTTCTTTAATACCGGTGGACTCAGAGGAGATCATTCTCCAGAGGTCTGAGCCCAGAGCATCAGTAGAGGGAGTAATTTATAGCCTATTACTTCCGCATTCCTCATTAATGCATGAGACAAGCAGTGTGGGAAGAAGAATCTGGAAGAGGGAGCCTTTGATCAGGGACAGGTATTTCCTTATCAGTCCTGCTGGCCATCTTATAACAGATTTTCCCCTATCAGTCAGAGCGTCATGGAGAAAATTGCATGACTGTGGAGCCTGTGATGTGTGTAATCATGTTATTTAAGATGACCAACCAATTTCAGTTCTCCTGATGGTTAACGCCTGCAAAATGAGATTTGTAATTCCTGGAGAAAGTGATGCACATGCTGTGATTTAAGGGACCCTAAGATGGTCTAAATACTATCTTCCCTATTCAAACATCTTTTGTAACATGTCTCCACTTTGGTGTATAGTAGTAACGGCCAATGTCTTATCTACCCCCTTGTCTTGGTCTAGGAGCACCCTGATGTCAAACGCAATGTATTTATTTATATCTGAATCTCGTTTAGTAATAAGCATGGAACTTCATATAGTCCTCCATATATACTTATTTCTATTTTTAATGCAACAATGTAAATTCAGTTCTTTTCCATCTTTGACATGGATTTTAGAAATGCCCTCCTAAGTACTGTTCCTGACCTTCATATTTTATTTCCATAATTCTCCTTTATGACATTAATGCCTCATTATCATGCCCAAACCCACCTTTCTAGCCTCATTATCTTCTATTTTGTCCAACCAAGGGTGGTATAAGCACCAATAATAATGACACTTATTCTCTGAATATCTCTGCATTCTTGCTTTTGAAGTTAGTCATGATTTTTCAAAAGCCTAATCTCACAATTATTGTTTTTCCCTCCATCTATTAAAATCTTTCTAGTCCTCAATAACTATATCAAATAAAATTTCTATCAACTTTTAATCACATAGCATGTTGGTAATAATTACACTACAGCTTAATACATGGGATATATTGGATTTTAAATAAATACTGGTCGTACTAAATCGAGTTGCAGCATACATTTCATTTAGATTTGTTCAGTAGATAGGTCTGTATTTGCACTGAATAAGATGATTGTGGCCAGAGACCAGGTCTAAATCATATTGGCATGTAAGACAATATTGTATATGTAACAGTCTTTTTTTTTTTTTTAATGTACGTGTAACAGTCTTGAGATAAATTTTTGTTACTAATTGTGCTAAATTTAAATATTTATTAAGTGCAAGGAAGGACACGTCCTTCCAAAGACTACCAGAAATAACTCTTTAGTTTCATAAAATTAGATTTTATGTTTTGTTCAATGAGGAAAAACTCACAGCTTGAAGAACTGTGGGGGTGTCTCACTAAGAGTGTGTCATAAAAGGCATTATTTGAACTTGTGTTTTAAGTTGTTCTGTGGATTGATGCTGGCAGAAAGGCAGAATAATTCTATGATTTGATATCTTTTTAATTCTAATCTAGGTTTAAAGAAGAATAAAGTAAATTTAAAGATTTAATTTGTAAAGAAACAGCAGTTACTCTTATTAGTAATAAATTATGGAAGCTTGTTTGTTTTTGGTTTAGACAATGTTCCTGTTTTTGTCTGTGTTCATACATGATTATCAGGTAATGTTATTTTTGTCTTACTTTATCATGACATACACTGATGTGGTATCTTTGACATTTTTATGTTCAACAGTAGTCCACAGTCTGGCTTGTTCATCAGACAAAGTCCTGGCTGTCAGAAGCTACTTTTCTTCTCACTGGTGAGTGGGAGAGTCAAATCCAATCTAGGCCTCTATGGAGTAGCTGGTAATAAAGGAATGCTGGGCATAGATACAAATATCAGCATCACCACTTGCTGTTGTCAATATCATCATCTCCAGTAGAGATTAGTATTGCATACATACTGTGTGCCTAGCAAAGCACCTAGCAGTCTGCAGTCATCATCCCATGTAATGCTCACAGTGACACTGTGGACAATATGCTACTAATCATGCTTACTTTACAGACCAAGAAATTACCCAGACCAACCACCTTGTAATAATTTGTACTTCTTTCCTTCAATTAAATAATTTACTTCCTCTCTGTATTCAACCCCCTCTACCACCAGTGTGTAAAACACACTGAAGTAAAACTTACTGGAGAGCTGTAATTCCTCTGAAATTTCACAAATGTCAGGTTAAGTCACCTTTAAGATATTTAGGAGATATAGAAGATTTGAAAACAGAACTCGATATGATCTGATTCACTTTCTTTTCCCTCTAATACCGAATATTTGCAGAATATGAGCATTTACACTTTCTTAACATGCAACACCTCCTACCTGAACATTATAAAATTAAAATAGTGAAATCCACTCATATCAATAATACATGCTTTTTTCAGGGAATAATGTATTCAATACTTTGTCCTTCCTGATGCTCTGTGTCCACTCGTAGAATTCAGGAAGGAATTTAGAAGCAAAAAGCAGAAAACTCCCTGCCATCCATAACACTGAAGCACATAAATTATATCTGCCTGTTTGGGACTGTGACCCTGAACCCACTTCTACTCCCCAGTCTCCCTCTAGACTTCTTTAGTCTTTTTAGAAAAGTGGTATCTGTATCATTAGCATACTGTGTTGAAATCAGCTGTAAAAACAAATTGTAGCATTTTTCAAATACAAATAACATGAGAAGGAAACTGGAGCCCAATTATTTAAAATCATTTAGAGCTTTAAAAAATAATTAATTCATGCTTGACTAAGGAAAGAAAGCGGGAAGGGGGACATAAGCAAAATATTCCAGGTAGCACCTATGTTGTGAGTTACCACTTTTATTAATCCTTCTAGTCTTCACAACAACTAATACAATGCTTAACACATAGGAACACTCAATAAAAAAAATACTTGCAAAGAGGTTATAGCAGTTAGGGCAGTAAATTGGATTCTGTGGTTCTGTATCACAGTCCCAACTCACGGATCATCATTCAGGGTGACTTGAGGGATATTACTTTAACTCCCTGTGCTTCATTTTCCATACAGGATACTACTACTTGGTTTATGTCCTGCATGCTTTGAGGGTGTCAGAGTGTTATAAAGACCAAGCTTTATTGTCAATTACATTTGTATTCAATTTTAGCCAAAAGTTTGTTCAATCAGTTCTTTTCAAAGAGACACATTCCCCATTTGAAAGGTCAGATTTTTCCATGAATGGCTGAGGTCTCGGTTTAACTCCAGGTAGCTGTTTATGGGCGGCTTGATTTCCTTAGACAGCATGGAAATAAAGTACAGTGGATGTAATAGTAAGACATATAATAAAATAAAAAAGATAAAGACCTGAGTTAGATACAGACTTAAATGGTACATGGCTTTTACAATCCCTTTACAGACTACAATACCATAAAAGGAAATGGGTCTTTGATCATCCAATGAGGCAATGCAGGGAAATATACAAATTCCCAATATTTATGACCACAAACTGAGGATCATAAAGACAAAAAATAAACTTGAATGAACCCAAGGTTTGTCAAAGAGTGAAATCAAACGTTATAAAGAGAGGAGGAAAAATTAAATGGACCAGACAGCTGCCGTCACTTTCACAGAAGCCAGAAAGAATAAAGTCAAATGGAATTTCAAATGTGGTCTGGAAAGTCCTCAGAGATTGAAGGGATATTTTATGTGCACTTTTGTACTATAAATCTATACACAAGCTATCTTTTTCGATACTGATAAAAGTCTGTGCCTGACTCTGACTTTGTGACTTGAGAGAGAATATGGCAATCGACCAGGGCTGAGGCACATTTGTATCTCTAAAGATTGGTAGTGTGTTTAACTCCATTTAAACTCAAGAGGATCTACTGGACACCATGGTAATTATAGTTAGTATTGTATATTTGCAATTTTCTAAAAGAGTAGATCTTAAATTTTCTCACCACGCACAGAATGGTAACTACATGAGATGATGGGTATATTAATTAACTCAATTGTGGTCATCATTTCACAATGTATATAAAACCATCATGCTGTGCACCTTGAAAAACTCACAATTGAAACCTAAATATATAGAATTTTCATCTGTCAAACATATCTCAATAAAAGTATGAGAACAAATAAACAACCAAATACACAAAGGATTAAAAAGATGAGGATTTTTTTCTCAAAGGAAAATCAGGGTTTGTTTTAGAAGTGATATAATGGAGATTGGATGGGTAAAAGATATTTTAGGTGACTATATTTATATCTGTATTTATATTTGTATTTATGTGTTTGTATACATGTATTTAGAGTGTTTTTACATATTATATCTAAACAAATATATGAATATACATGTATACTTATATGTGTATGCACACACACACACACACACACACACACTACAATAACTCACTTCTTTCTTACTCAACTAAAACTATTTAAGTGCCAGGTGTTTAATGATAATGATATTTGTGTGAGGGCAAGTTTGGGTGGGATTTTGCCCGAGATTTCAGTTTTGATTTTACAAAATAGCATGTGCAGAGGCACATTTGGGTGATCTGATTTCATGAGTCAGATGACCTGCAGTGTAATTAAGACCCTTGACATTTCTTAGAGTAAAGGCCACAAAGATCTAACACAAATTATTTTATTCTAGGTTTTGCAGCTGAATTTCAAAAAGAACTGAAGCAATTTTATAAGTCAATCTATCAATGGAGACTTGATTTAGTGAATATTAATGTCTTCTTTAATGCTGTTCTAATACTACAGGTTTTCTGTGTGAGTAAATGACAACCAAACAAAATAAAGCACAGGAAAGTGTCTTCAGTAAAACATGAAAAAAGGCAATTTTAAAGATGGTGATTTTAAAGATGGCAATTTTAAAGATGGTAAATTTTAGAGATTGGATAAATGCAAATGCAAACAAGATATGGAACTATTTCATCATGGCAAAGATCTCCCTTATGATGACCCTTATAGTCACTGCCCTTAAGAATCTTATTAATTGTTTATTTTTTAAAGTTTATTTGTCTGCACACACCATCAGCTCAGAGTCCAATGTGGGGCTTGAACTCACAAACAGCAAGCTCATGACCTGAGCCAAAGTCAGACGCTTAACCGACTGAGCCACCCAGGTGCCCCAAGAATCTTTTTCTGATGTTTTTACACAATGTTTTCTTTGTGTTTAGTGAGAAGAAAAGAGAAACTTACAGCTAAATGTAATTTTAAATGTAAATGTAAATAAAGATGAAAGTGTCCATCTTTCCTGGAAGTAGAAGTCTCCACAGTCTGTTGTTAATGAAGTGTGTTGTGGTTTCTCCACCAAATAACATGGAATTCACATGTGAGTCCATTTAGATATGCCTAGTTATATCTGTTGTGAATTCTACTGTTACCCAAAGGCAGGTACCCAGCTTGCAAAACTACTCATCTATTTTAATGGCTATTAAAATCATTATGTCTGTTCTGTATTTATGTTTTAAACTTAAATCTCATTAAAAGAAGACAATGGATTAGCAAAACTGCTTCCCTTCAAAATAAAACTTTGAATAGGAGAGAATGTGCATTTGTTCCAACAAATAGCAAACTGAAATTAAAAAAAAAGAATATGAGATTTTTTTTCAATGTTTGGAAGAGATTAAAAAAATACAATGCATAATAAGCCCAGTCCTGCAACCCCACCTCTGTGAGTTAATTACTGATGTATTTTTTATTTGATTATTCCTATGAGAGGAGTCTCACCAGAGGAAAGGAGCCCAAATATGGAGTTGGCAAATGCATTTGGCCTCAGTGTACATTTCTGGACGCTGTTCCCTCCTGCTCCCTTATTCCCTCTCCCCTTTTAGAGTCTGTCTCAGATTACTATGCCTTTTTAATCACAAACAATATTTTAAACACTCTATTTAGAACACTATTCTTCCAAACACTCTGTCCTCAGGCGAGGGACACCTGCCTGGCACTCGAGGCGTCTGATAGGCCTTCCCGGTGAATTCGGCGTCCCCTCCTGCGAAGTACTCAGGCTCCACTACTCACAGATCGGATTTCTCTTCCCCAGCCGACCGTCCCCATTCCTGAGAGCATCGGGAATGAGTGACCGGCCTCACTGGACGTGCACCCAGGTGACCCGAGTGCGCAGGGCCCTCGCTGGGCTTCCCCTCCCTCTCCAGCTACAGACACAGCGCACCCTCGGGCCTGGGGAGCAGTGGCGCCCAACAATCCCGGGCTGGGCTCTCCTTGGCCGCCAGTGACATCACCGGCGAAGCGGATCCCAGGCGCTAGGCTCCTGGTTTCATCGGATAGTCTCTCTGTCGGCCCCGCTGGAGAACAAAGGCTTTGAGGGAAGGAGGATCCAGGCGGGCGACAGCGTGCAGTTCAACCCCGCGCACGACTTAGCTCCCTCTTGTGCTGAGTCCAGGAGCTGCAAACCGAGCCTAAAGGAGGGGTGCTGCCCGTGCGAGGCTCTTCCTACTGCAAGTCACCTGTAGGAGCTAAAGGCACCCAGTTCATCTCTGTACACCCCTCCCCCCTCCCCGGCTAGAGAGCTGCTAGGATCAGGATCCTGATCTGCTGCAGCAGCAGAGGCCTTTTGGAAGAAGCCTCAGGACTGTTTCCTGTGTAGGGAGAGGCTTTTTCTTACCAAAGACATGTTTCTCTCCACCTCTAAAGTAGTGCTACTATCCACGAGTTACAGGGACGAAAGAAGTGGAATACAATCAAGATACAAGGAGGAAATTGTTACCAGGAATGTTCCTGCAACAGCCTCCTAATGCAGGTGTCTGGTTTTAGGATGTAGAGAACCAGAGAAAGGAGATTGGTGTGAGAGAGAGAGAGAGAGAGAGGGAGAGGGAGAGAGGAGGAGGAGGAAGAAGAAGAAGAAGAAGAAGAAGAAGAAGAAGAAGAAGAAGAAGAAGAAGAAGAAGAAGAAGAAGAAGAAGAAAAAGAAAGGAAGAAAGAAAGAAGGAAAGAAAGAAGGAAAGGAAGAAG